AGAGAGAGAGAGAGAGAGAGAGAGAGAGAGAGAGAGAGAGAGAGAGAGAGAGAGAGAGAGAGAGAGAGAGAGGAATGACTTGATGCCATACGCCTTACGTGGTGACACCTCACCTGGAATCACGTCCTATTGATATATAAAAGCTCAAAAAGCAACAGCACCACCACCTCTTCGTATTCGCACAAATTCGCAGTCATACTATCTAAGTATACTCACCCAGACTTGACTCAACCTGCCTGGCTGTAATAGTCTATATGCTATTCTAATGTTCTATTCCTCTATTCTATTCTAGACTTTTATTACTCTATCTCATCTGTAGCTGTAACATTCTACAATTACTCTAGAATAGAATAGAGGAATAGAACACTAGAATGTTACGCTAGAAACTGCACCCAAACTTGCCCTTTATTGGAAACCTGCCTGGCTCCAGTCACTGTAGTTTATGCTTTTCGAATGTTCTAGTACTCTAATAGGCTAAATGAGGATATTCTAGTGTTTTATGACTCTGAGGCAGTCTGTGCCTCGTTTACACTAATCAGATCTACTCACTCATAACCTATAATATATTACAATAAAAAAATTTCTAGTATTGTACGTCTTCTTCCTCTTAACGTATCTAGTATCTACCATACAGCCTGTCTTACTTTCCTACACCGGTGAAGTAATCCTCTACTTTATTGCACTCACAGCCTGTCTTGCCAGAAAACTAATTCTATTCTATTCTATTCTATTCTATTCTATTTTTTTCTATTCTATTCTATTCTATTCTATTCTATTCTATTCTATTCTTCAGCAGTCTACTAGTTTCTAAAACTCTACTACCGGCTTCACACCCGAATATAACGCCGGGTCATTCATTATAGCCGTATTTGGGGCAATCTTCTGTCCAGATTCAGAAATAATGACCGGGCGTTCTATTCGGGTGAAGCCGGTAGTATGGTCTTCTGTCGCCTACCTTGTTCTATCACCATTGCTCTTGTCACTCCACTTATATCCAATAACAAGTCCAATTAATTTAACAAACTTCCCTTCCCTTCCCTTCCTCCTGCTCCTTTTCCATGGTCTGTCTGTTTTTTTTTTTTTTTTGTTCATCCATTTCTTTACATCATATCAACTCATGCGATATTTAATAATAAATTATTAAACTTAATAATTATATATCGCATGTGTTTGTCTGCACATCTACCTCCTCCCTCTGTGCCTGTCCAAATGGGATGAGGTTTCGATGGAGTGTTCGCGTCCGTGAAGTAGGATCCTCCCATCAAAAAGGAGGAGGATGGCCACAACTCTTTCGACAGTTCAACATTTAGAAGAGCCTTCCCTTTTGCTAATTTCTATTTTTAGAACGTTCCTATTCAAATCTCTATAATGATCTAGAGATACTCTCTAATAAAACTCAAAGTCTCGAACAACTTTACGAGCTCTCCGAGGACGCAGCTGAGCGAGCGCAACACAACGTATTATGCAGCTCAGCTCACAGATCTGTCAAAAGCACTCAAAGGACGCAACTGAACGACAGCACAACACAACATATTATGCAGCGCACAGCTAAAGAAGAAAAAGGTTCTGAAAAAAAAAAAGAAAACAAATGCAAAAACTAAACAAAGCAAGCAAAACAACGCAAAGAGAAAGAAAAGGCCACGTTTTCTAACAAATCGCCAACGCAGCCCGAACGAAGTCCAATTCTCATCCATCCTCGCATCTTCTCTAGAGAGAGAGGATGAATGACGATCGGGATGCAGAGACTGTTATCCAGATAATCGTCTCAAACCTTGAAATACCTCATTTTTTTCACACCACTGTCGACAAATCACAAGTGAGTGCATGCTGATCCATGTCACTCCAACACAACACACACAATGAAAAAAAAAAAAAAAAGGGCGCATCTATGTCACTCCAACAACACACAATAAGTCCTAGAGCACTCAAATGAATTCAATCCTACTGAAACTTCTGAATGTCGATAAAAGCACAGTCAGTCAATGGTTTGCACGTCTGCATGCCTGTCTCACAAGTGCGCGTGGCCCACTATGTGTCGGCACAACTCTGCAGTTATATACAGCTGTCTACCTAAGCGTGTGTCTCACACAGGCATGCACATATACCCACACAGACGCACAAAACGATCTGCACACATACACACATACACACACACACAAACACAGACACAAACACACACACACGCACACACACACACACACACACACACACACACAAACACACACGCACACACACACACACACACACACACACACACATGGGGAGTGTGAATACAAAATGCAAAGGAAAAGGAAGATGGGAGGGAATGCAAATCACTCAGATGTCAAACTAGCAACAGCTCTGTGCTAGAACGCTTTTGACCAAGGACGAGGCCGAAGTGGGTGGGCTATGATTGTGCTAGAGTAGCATGAACCTGTAGCGCAGTCCATCGCACACATGATAGCCCGCTGCGCCCTGAGCCTCGCTCTTGTACTGTATCCGCCACATGAAGTAGTCGGCATGCTGGCACATGTGGAACCAGGCTTATCCTTTCGTTAAAGTCTGCATGATCAAAATCGGTCAGCCCGGCGCATGAGGCTAGGGCAGGCCTAAACATGTCATCACGCTTCGAACGTCCGCGGATGCTTGCCTCCTACACCTTGTAGCACGCTGGCATCTAGGATGCACTCAGTTATGGGTGGGCACATACTGCTTGCTATCTGTAGTGGGATCCAGACTCTGCTTTCTTCATGCCCTTTCGTTAAAGTCTGCATGATCAAAATCGGTCAGCCCGGCGCATGAGGCTAGGGCAGGCCTAAACATGTCACCATGCTTCGAACGTCGGCGGATGCTTGCCTCCTACACCTTGTAGCACGCTGGCATCGAGGATGCACTCAGTTATGGATGGGCACATACTACTTGCTACCTGTAGTGGGATCCAGACTCTGCTTTCTTCATGCGCGGGGATACACGCATCCAGCAAGACGCCCAAGCCAGAAAGCCGCCCTTCCAAAAAAGGCCATTAGTCACGCCAGCTATCTTGATACGCTTGCTGGCGCTGGCCCGTTGCACGACACACATTTTCTTGCGTCCAATTTTCGGCGATCCTACTTCAACTGCATACTACCCTCTCCACCGCATGGAAACGCGTCTGGGCGTTTTCACATCCCAAATGCAGATTTTATCCAGCTGTGCATTTGCACCCATAGGTGACTCTGCGGTCTGTATCGGACTGCAGAGAGTGTGGATTCGCATGCACAAAGGCCAGCACAGCACCCCTTAAAACTGTCTATGGAGAGGGCACGGCCATGACAAGGAGAGAAAACACGGCTGAGGGCAAGCAACCCCCATCTCAGCCAGAAGAGCTAGGGTGTCATTGGTCATTGGTGTGTGCCGCTCACCTTCGGGCTGCGGCAATCGGAAATGAATGAGGCGGAAAGGGGACCAGAAGGGGAAATAAGAGAAGTAAGAGGACAGTGGTCGCACAGGCAAGCAATCGCAACACCTGTTTTCTCCATCCTATCTTCAGCGACCGAGATGCTCTCGAGATGGTGCAACTCAGCTTCCCTCTTCAGGTTCAGGTCAGGGAAAAATAGTCCCTGTCTGTCATCAAAGAGCCAAGATCTTCTGCGGTGAAACCCAATTCAATTTGCTCATCAGAACGAGGGCAACCACCACGACCCGATTCATCGACGACGACGACTCCCCTGAGCCAGAAATTCAAAGGAGCACTATGTCTGGCTTGCAGGCTATCCACAGAGACGAACAAAGCACCGGTCAGACACAGCCAATGCGACTTCCAGCAGCTGCTGACTAATGGCAGGAGTCGACATCAGAAGTCGGCACGCAGATGGAAGATCTTCCGATGCAATGACACACGTATTCAGACCATAATACTCAAGCAAGTTGATGGAAGATGAAGGAATGTGGTGACACGTCGCCGACAGGCCATAATCAAACAAATGGAAGTAATCGCATAAGGAAAAAAAAAAAAAAAAAGAAGAAGAAGAAGAAGAGGTGGGATAGGTGGGATCATCCAACGTGTACTTCTTGAGTTCACAAGGCTTGATGGTAATTCAACGAGGATGACATGCCACATCCGAATCCCGATCCCGGTGCCGGTTCTTTCTTGGAGTCTCTGTCCATGGGCAGGAAGCTTGTTTAAACCCGATCCCAATTTCATGTCCGCCCTGAAAGTGCGTGCATACTCAGCGCGGGCCACCAAGTCCGTCAAGTACAACCGCCGTCCACCTGTTTGCTAGCGAACCTTACTTTGCTTACCAATCCAGAACACTTGTAGTCAAATCCTCCTCCATCTGTCTCACATCCAAAACTCCTTTGTCATTTTGATATTGCCCTTCCCGTTATCGGAGTTTTGCAGACTTCTCGTTCGTCCTTCGTAATGCCAAATATATACATATATCGTCAAATATATATTAAAAAAAAAATGTATATATATATGTGGACGGGAACAGGCCCCTGTGACTCCCAACTCAGATTGTTTGATTGGTCCATGCACCGAATTGTGTTCCTGTGCTCCTCATCCACATATGCTCGGCCGATTTCGATTCGACACGGATAGTCTGTACCCACCACCGCGTTGAGACTTCATATCCTCCGCATTGCTCAACAGGTGGTTCACTCATGCCCAGCAGTTTGTACTCTTCATGTTTCTTTCTGTGAGCGAACAGGCTGACCCTACACTTGATTGGTGCTGGCTTGCTCTCTCTGCTAAGCAAGTTCACTTCTCCCTCACCACACGAACTGCTGTGCCCGTGATCTATGCTCCTTCGCGAATGTTGATTGCCCCGAAGTCCTGTGCGAGGTTCTGCCAAAGGCTGCTCCTTCACGAATGCCGATTGCCCCGAAGTCCAGTGCGAGGTTCTGCCGAAGGCTGCTCTGCTGCTTCTCTCCTGCTAAGCAAAACGTGGGCCGTGTTTGAATTCTGTTATAGCGGAGACCAGGCGTAGGCGATTATGAACGCATTGCTTTACAAGTCACTGGCAGACAGAATAACTGGGGGTTGTCATGCGCGAGGGCAAACCCAGGAAAGCTGATGATATGAAACGGGGGACCGGATTGGCAACACGGCCCTGAAGGCCCAGCTGTAGCACTCTCTGTAACTCCGATGTTATGGTGACTTGGGTAGTATGTACGACTTGCCACTCTGCGTTCATTTGCCAGCTTGGCAGTTCAATCACTTCTTTGAAGTTCTTTCTTCTTGAAAGAGACGAAGACAAGGAGGGTGCGTTCTTCACTACCATGAAGCCGACAAAGGGTTGTATGCTCTCGTCCGCCAGGGCTCTTATGATGTTATACTAAACTGGGTGGAGTCTGCAGAGCAGTGTCGTCTTACCACTCCCTTGTTCGTTTGCCGACTTGGCAGTTGAGTAAAATTCAGTGGCTTCTGGTCGAATGCGACCGAGATGAGGGCTCGTTCTTCACTACCTTCCATCCGAGTAATGGCGGAATGCTGTCTTCCGTAGGCTGCTGAGCCCCCCCGGGAAGCCTCTGCCTCCAAGCACGAAGGCTGCTGAGCACCCCGGAATGAGACATGTGTTCGTTTGCCGACTTGGCAGTCGAGTAAAAATTCAGTGGCTTCCGGTCGAATGCGACCGAGATGAGGGCTCGTTCTTCACTACCTTCCATCCGACTAATGGCCGAACGATGTCGTCCGTAGGCTGCTGAGCCCCCCCGGGAAGCCTCTGCCTCCAAGCACGAAGGCTGCTGAGCACCCCGGAATGCGACATGTGTTCGTTTGCCGACTTGGCAGTCGGGTAAGAATTCAGCGGCTTCTGGTCGAATGCGACTGAGATGAGGGCTCTTTCTTCACTACCTTCCATCC